GAGGCTTTGGGCAACGTGGTCTAGTGGAGGGTGTCCCTGCCTGCAGCAGGGGGGTTGGAACTAGATGATTTTTAAGGTCCCTTCCACCCCAAACCATTCTATGATTCTATGACTTGTGGCTAGGACGGGGCCAGGGAGCCAGATCCCTGCTTCTGCCATTAACTTACTGTATGACGTTGAATAAACAGCATGTATTTATATGCGTGCCAGAGTTACAGTGGGTCTGTGTTTTTTCATATGTTCCTAAAATTGTGTTCTTAAGTTCACACTTAGGTACCCAAATGAGTGGCTAGGCTTTTAAAGATACAGCTTCTCATTGATGTAAATAGCAGCAAGGAGGTTCTGTTTTGTTAGTTTGTAAAGTGTGCTTAAGTTCCTCACAGGAAAAGAATACAGAGTAATTACCAAGTGTTATTAATAAAATTACCTGATTATATTAAGAATATAGTACTACTAACAAAGCTTTCCTGAGAATTTAATACTCCATATATATTTATGGTACAGTTTATGCAGTTATTTTATAGTGTGCGTTGGCTCTGTCTACACTGCCTAGAAAGATTCTCTATGACCTCTTTAGAGAGGAGTCTTCAGGGAGATGGTACTATGCAGAAAGAGTTAACTCATTAAGCTTGGATTTGGCTAGTTTTACAAGACTCAGTTTATTTACAAATGTATTTGTGCATTTGACTACACAGTCAAATTCCTCATCACGATATATGCCTAATTTACCTTGCTTTCTTTGACAATGGTGCGTTCTGAACTGGCTCTGTACAGTGGTTTAAGTACAGGTGTAATGGGTGCCTTGATTTGGCAATTAGGTTAACAATGCGTTCAACTGAAAATTTCAAAGATACAGATCTCTTAAATATAGCAACATAATAGTACATGGCACACATGAGGGATTGTGAGCATCTTTATATTATATTTTTGTTGGAATTGTAGCGAACAGAAGGGAGAAATTTGTTTTACAAATCGGTAAAACTTGTCAGTTATACTGTTAGTACTGTTTTGTATACATGTGTTTTACATAAATTAGTCTGAAACCACAAGTTCATCTAGACCATGTAATACTTGTTATGATAACAGCAGACCGTCAAGTTCAGACTCTGAAATATCACGTGAAGACCTTTTGTTGTAAGCGTGTTCCATAACACAGCCTTTTTCATCCCCAGTGCTCTACATTTTAAGGTTGTTTTAGTCCTAGTATCCATGGCGCAAACATCAATTCTTAATGGCTAATAACTTTCAGAATGTGTTGAGAATGTTATTTTATGCAGTATGGCCTAAAAGACTTATATAGGAGGAAAAAGATGAGTTAATTATCACAAAGTGCTGTGCTGTTTTCTTTATCCTAGTCAGCTGATACTGTTTAGGCTCTTATTTCTAAGACTATATACAGAATTGGAAAGGCAAATGGTTGACCTAGATTCAAGCAAAATAAACCAAATCTCTCCACTTGAACCTATGGATTTTCATAAAAAAACTCTAGAACACTTGGAAGTCTATCAGAAACTTACAAATACTGAGCATCTTTACTAACCAGCAGCCCATAATCTTCTATTTTCCATCATATAACATCAATGAAATTAATTTCTATATCTCAAAGCCAACATGTTTTGTCACTGTTTCAAATTAGAGCTGACTTGGTCAGATGCAAAACATGCTGCACCATTTTCAGTAATTATCTAATAACTTCACTTGCCTTTCAGGAACATAGTTGATCTGTGGAAATAGGAGAGCTTTTAAAGTTCTTTTGATTCTGGCAGGATGAAACTTAAGAGGGAGGACACCTGGCAGCATAAATTACACTTTAGCTCATATGAGTATCTTTGAAAACAGAACCATATTGCTGTTATAAAACCTGCATCTTATTGCTCTCCAGCTAATATCACTGGTGAAAAATTTACAACTGTTCTCCCTAAGGAAAACAAAAGTCTTCCTCCCCAGGATAACTTACTTTTTTTTGCCTATCATAATTTTATAATAATTACTCTTTAACTTACCATGGTGAAGAGAAGCTTTTATTTCTGGATGTCAGAAGTCCCTTTGTTACTGTACCAAAAATAGACTTGCATAAGTCAAATATACTTTGACTAGATCATCAGTTCAGTAATACCATTTTCTGCACCAAAAACCCCAGTCTTACAATTTCATATCTTCTTCTTCCTCCCATATCAGAATTATATACAATAAAATAGACAAAGGGTAAATGCAGTGATATCAGCAAAACAACTTCTGTCAATTCGTGACATTTTATATTGATGCAGTGATGCAGGCTCTGACTGATTGCAAGCAGTGTCTTAGTTGGTAAAAAATGCATGCTAGTGAAGATGCTGTATGTCCGAGATGAAATAGTTTTTTGCTTGAATTGAGGGCTGTCAAAAAGATACTATCCCAGATAATATCCGAATCTGAACATTTTCAGTTTTAAGAACTGTCTTGAAAACAAATAAAGCAGTAATAGTCTTTCAAGGCTTTCAAAGGAACAGGAAGTTGACAGATGAAGGTTTTTGGAGAGAGGGGAACCCTGAGAAAAGTTAACAACTCTTAATTTTATGGTCACATTAAAGATTCTCAAAAATGAAGCAATCCACTTGTGATACCAGAAGTCTGAACTTTGCAGGTAAACTGAGTCATTTATTTGATTGAATACAGTTGAATATTGAAGTAGAGATGACATTATTATTGGATTAAGAAAACTGTGACTTTAGGAGGGTTGGTGGTTTGGGGTTTTTTTCAGCTTTTTGTGTCAAGGAGACTGTGCTCTTGCACTTTCAAAGTAGTCAAACTGGTTTGTGGATACTTTGTCCATTGGTCATAGAGCCTTGTCTTCTTGGCCAGCTCTCATCCTTGGTAGTTTAGGACTGAAGCACAATCACAGTACCAAGAATACTATAAAAATACTTAATTCCTAAATTCCTTTCTGTGTGCTTTCTTTGTGTCTATTTATTAAGTTGTATTAGTGCATTTCCAGTTTGTTTTGAATTTTTGGGTTTTTTGTTTAAGTATTCTATATTCAGGTTAAAACCCGCTAATTCTTTTTTGTAAGACAGAGCAGGATTTGATTCACTTCTGGATGAAATACAGAAGTGTGAAATGGAACCTAAGGTTTTACAATAAAAGAATTTTGAGATAATTGCGGTCATCCATATTTAGTATGTTTGAACAACAGATAAAAAGCCTTTAACATGGTAAGTTGGAAAACGTTTTTAAAATACTTCCAATTTTAAGATGAGATGCAACTATTGAGTATAACAAAACCAAATTATCTAATCTCTGTTTTTAATGCTTTTGCAGCCAGAGTTGGGAAGACATCACTAATTATGTCTCTTGTCAGTGAAGAATTTCCAGAGGAGGTAGAGCATCCTTATTTGTTTTCTATGTTTTTATTTCTATCCTGTTGTATAATTTTTTTAAAGAGTAAGTTAATAGGGTCTGCTTTAAAATAATGTTTCTTATTTAGAAAAAAAAATAAAGTCTAAAACTGCAATGATGACTTCTGGAAGAGTGATGTAGGTTAGGTTAAATATATCTGTGTGAAGATTAGGAATTTAGATTTTATCTATGTTCCTTTCTTGTTTTTCACACGGTTAATGAAAGTAATTTTTTTATATCTGAGGAATGTTAGGGGGTTTTTAAGTAGTTGAAACTGGTCATAACTGGCAGCATACTTCAGCTATCAGAGACTCATAAATGGGAAGGTGCTGACACAGGCAAGACCCTCAATTTTTTTTTGTGTGTTGTATTTAAAGAGCAAGTAGATTGAAAAATGAATGAGAATGAGGAATTAAAAAGTCACATCGTATAACTTAACCATGTTTTTGTAACTGAGACAATGCCTTTATTTCTATTTTTGAAGAATGTTTTGCTGACTCTTTTGAAGTAAAAACCACCAAAAACTGCTAGTGCGTTCTTCCAGAATAAAAGTAAAGCTCCTTCTACATTTTATTCCTTTAAAAAAGCAGCACATAGGTCTCTTTATACCATGAAAAGAACTGCAGCTGCTGCAAATAGTTAAGCTTTTTACATATAAACATGAATGTTTATTTCTTCTGATCACACGTCTTAAAATAGACATCATGTGCTGCTCTTTGAATCTACACAGTGCTGTTTAATGCAAATCAGTAGGTTACTACAGTTCATGAGTCCAGATTAGATTGTTAACATAATTTAGTTAAATTCCCAACCTTGCAGGTAAAAAGGAGCACCAGTTGCTGTTTGTTCTTAAACTGCTCAGGGACCTATTCCTTTGACAGGTCCTTTCTTGAGGTACTTAATGAATTGTAGGCGCCTCTTCACTTCTTATCTTCTTCCTGCCGTATAATCTAGAATATTTATCTAAATTCGTGTTGAGAGAAAAAGCGTCATTTATATATAACACAATATCTGCCTGAAATTACAGAAATAACTTTAAAAAAATACAGCATCCTATATAAACTGAAGAAAGCGACATGTACAATTCCTGCAGGTCAGTCATGCAGATCAGAGCTGTAAGGTGTATAACAGACGTTTCAGACTTTGAAATAATGTTTAATACACTGGGTATTATCAGTAATCATTCTTGATGAAGATGTAAGTAGAGTCTGAAGCTTTACAAAGAGCCATTCTTCTGGTGATTGGCTTCTCTTTTTTTCCTTTTTCCTTTTTTTTTTTTTTTTAATTAAAAGAAAAGTATCATGAAAGTTCAGGGTCAGCAGGTGAAAGGCGATAAATAGCTGTGCAGGAAGTTTACATTAAAATTAGGTTTAAGTTGATTCTTTCTGAATATGGATTAGTGTTCTCTGGAAAAAAATGGCCAGCAATCATAGCTAGTTTACACTATTTTGCAGAACACACTTTTTATCAGTATCATGTTTTGCTTTGTAGGCTTTTCTGAACTTAAAGTTTAGCACTCTGTCAGAAGCAAGGAACTTGTCAGGTTATGATTATGTAAAAATGGAGACTTGTATTGTGTCTGTCATGCTTGTTTGCAGTATCTTGACTATTTTTTTTTAAACAAAATAATAAGCTGTTCTGTTTAAAGCTGACTATTTGGCAAGTGTATGATAGTATATGACTTTTTGTCTATCTGGATTTTCTGGATTATCTTTAAAGGCTTTTTCTTGCTGTTTCTTTACAACCCAAGGTTCCACCACGAGCTGAAGAAATCACCATTCCAGCTGATGTCACCCCTGAAAGAGTGCCAACCCACATAGTGGATTATTCAGGTAAGACCTACACAATCCAATTACTGTCTGACTGATTTGGCATGGAATTGTTTATCTAACTCAATAGCCTCTTTAACAGTCATACTGGTACAGGACCAAAGTTATGTGTAGGAAAAGACTAGATTAAAATAGAAACTCATGGGATAAAAACAAATCAGATGATGATGGCTGGTCCTACTAATTCAAGGCCTGACATTAACTGCTGTTGGTACTTCCATGAAAGACAGTCATAGTGATATTCCAGTGAAGTTAGTGTTCTTTGTGTGACAGACGTGTTTACAGGCTCAGGCAAAGGCGAGTACTTTCATGGAATTCTAAACTATTTTTCTTTCTTTCAATGAAGAATTCCCTAAGATGCAGGAGACTTTACATACCTTGTATTGTATGTCTTTCTAAATTTCTAAGTTTGGACACCTTATCCTTTTGTGTCAGGTTCATATTTTGTTTTTCTGTTTTTTGATATATTCTAACCTCCTTGACCTTACTGAATAGATAAATAGGCTCAGTATCAAGGTTCATATGCTATCATAAATATGTGCAACGGTTGCACAGCTAGAAAAATCCTATCACCATTTATAATGGCAGCATTAGGCCATGTTAGCAGATACCTTCCTATCTTCTCTCTCCCACCACTGCTGAGGAAATGTCTTTGGTGTGTTTACCTATTTGGAACAAAGAAATAATGCATATTCTTGTCATTGGACTTGAACTCAAATTCATGTGGCATGGGTTTTTCTATTGGATTAAATATTTCATCAATTTGGTTAACAGAAGCTTGGTCTCACCAAAAAAAAATCATCGTCACTGCAATAAAATTAGCATATGCCATATTCTGTTCTAAAAGTTTACATTATAGAACAATGTTGCTACTTATTATCCCAGGAAGGGGCTGTTGATAAATGTAGGGGGATGCAAACTATGACTCATTCCAGAGAGAACCTGTCTACAAATGTAATTTAATTATTCCTTTTTAAAATAGCTGCTAAAAAAACTTGTGTGCAACAGACTGTTTCTGTCTTGCAAGTTAATGGATCAATTTCATTATTGATACAGCAGATGCACTCTTTAGTGCGTTTTATGAAAAGACGTTTAAGTAACAAGAGCTTTCACAAGACTGTCCTGTGAGCATTGTGAAACACCCCAGTTCAGTTTCTCATGTTTTTCAGTTTTGTTCGCAAAAATGTTTAGTATTAACAAATGGCTTATTCTATTCAATGCAGAAGCAGAGCAAAGTGATGAGCAGCTTTACCATGAAATATCACAGGTAAGTGTATTTTAGTGTTTACTAGAAAATAGTTTCTGCTTTTGGAGAAATCTTTCCTTTTAAGTTCTCTGCATTAGGTGGGCTTCAGTTAGAAGAAAAAAACCCACCTCTTTTGCTTTTTCTTGCTTGGCATTTCGTTTTGTTTTGTTTTGTGCCTTGTGCTGTAGTAAACTTTCCTCTATTTAAGAAGTGTAGTTACTGCCACTGTGTTGGTGAATTGAGCTTAAGCTTTGTCCTTCCAAGTGAAAGGACAGAACCTAAATACATTTTAGTCAGTAGACCAAGGCATTGACAGTTTTTGTAAAGAAATAATCCTACCCTGGAAAGATCCTTTTTGGTTCTTTCTGTCATGTTGCATTTTATTTATGAATAGCATGGCATTCTTGGTAATTTTATAATTCCTCTCATTTCCTATTTTCAGTTTTTTCTGAGCACCTTCGCATGGTTTCTGTACAGCCTGTCATGGTGTTGTGTTCCATTTCTGGCATTTAGTTTGATCCTTGAGTGGAGGCTGCAAATGATGATTCTTCAGTTTAGATTTCTTGGTAGCATAGGTCTCTCTGCAGGCATAAGCTGTGAATGTCACACGGCAAGACAGGCTTTTTGGCACTTCTCAATGTATAAATTATTTGGTTTAAGCTGTTGTTCGGGCTACAAATAGCTTAAACAAGTCAGGGACACAGTTTTTGACTAATGGTGGAACTGTCCTTACTCTGATGTTGTTACATATGGTTCTTAATTGTCTGTGTTGCTGTAGAGACTCTAAACAGTGGAACTCCATGCCTTTCCTTTCTTTTCATTGTAGGCAAATGTGATTTGTATAGTATATGCTGTTAACAACAAGAATTCTATTGATAAGGTATGGTAACACATTTTATCCAATTATTGCTTGCGCACTGTTAATTGTTGGCAAGCTGAAAATTGTATTAGGTATTTAAAGTGCATAAGATGGTGTTTGAGAATGTACAGATGTGTTATTGTTTCTGATTTATTTCAACATCTGAGTCTTCAGTCATTGCAGTTATCTGACAAAGTTGCTCATTAATCAACTCTATTTTTTTATTTGTTTCCTCCTTTGTGGGTAAATATGTGCTGCCTTGGGAGAGAAGCAGTAGCAGTTGTAGTCGAACTTGTGCACAATTCAGTCATAGTAAATTTGAAAATGTATTTTTCATGTTTGTTTTTTAACCCCACTTTAGGTAACAAGTCGATGGATTCCTCTCATCAATGAAAGGACAGACAAAGATAGCAGGTGCATAAATAAAGATGAGAAGTGTGAATTAGGCTGCACATCGATGGGTGTCAATGGACAGTGTTGAGGATGTTAATTGTTTAAGAAAATCAAATTCTAAACTTAAAGGTTATATGAGAAGTCCAAGCAACAAGAGATTTAAAGTATGTAGGTCTGTTACATATGCCAGCAATGCTATTTATTTTGAATTTCATGGGCAGCTTTTACCAGGTGTGTTTATATTTGTTATGGTATAACTAGTTTTGGCTACATGGTCTGTATAGGTTTTCTACTGATGCTGGTTTTGTATAATAACATGTGTTTAATTTTGTCTGTATCTGTGCGGTTTTTATAGTATCGACAAGAAGTACATTTTCTGTCTAAGTGTATATCAAAACAATTTACTTAAAACTACTATCGTTCAGTTTTGCCTGTTGGCTGCCAGTGATATTTAATTACATCATAAAAATAATATAATGGCTTCCTGGTGGGAGGTAGGATGCTCAATTAAGATAGATCTTTTTATCCCTCTGTCTTTAAAGCTCTTAACCTGTTTGTTTGTTTGTTTTCAGGCTGCCTCTTATATTGGTTGGAAATAAGTCTGATCTAGTGGAATATAGCAGTATGGAAACCATCCTTCCCATTATGAATCAATATACAGAGATAGAAACATGTGTAGAGGTATGCAAGACTTTCTGAAGTTAGAATGAGTAACAAAAAATACACTCTTGCCAAGCATATATGGCAACTTTTAAATAGAAAAGATGATTTTTTTTTTTGTTCAAAAGAAAATATTCAAATATAAGTTGTTATCATGGTGAGTTTATATGTTATTTTTCTTTAGAGAAGATTATACTATTGCATGGCTCAATGTTACCATCAAATTCTTCTAATATTTAGAGCCTCCTCACATCCTTGTCTTTAGCACGTGTTTCAAATTTAATATTAAGCCAAACAGGTGTGTGCAAAGTATTAAAAATGGAATTTAAATGTGTGAAAATGCCTTTCTTTTTTTTCAAAGTAGATACAACTTTTTTGATTTCTCTGGTTTTATTAGTATGACAGCAAATTGTAGTGAGACCTCCTTTATTAATTACTGAATAGACAGAGGGGCTAGATGTCTTTTTTTCTCAAATGGCACTGTACCCACAAGAGGGGGCTAGATCTTTAAAAGTTTGATGGTTGCTTAAATTTCAGAAGAAATCACCAAATACTCATGAAACTAGGTAATCAATATAAGGATTTTTCTTTCAGTGCTCAGCCAAAAACTTGAAGAATATATCCGAGCTATTTTATTACGCACAGAAAGCTGTTCTACATCCTACAGGTCCTCTTTATTGCCCAGAGGAGAAAGAGGTATTTATACATAGATTTTAAGAACAAATAATAGGGGGGAGGGGGAATTATTCACTTTCCTGTTCTTTCCTTTTCAGTGGACTTTGCATTTCCTCGTGTGTTCTGTTACCACCACCCCACCTCCAAATGTCAACCATTATATTCCAAAAGCATGGTGATTGTTTTGTGTTGTATTAATCCAATCTGTCTTTCCTCTTCATTCAAAGCAATGAAGACTTTTTTTGTTGCCCATGTGAATTGCGAAGTAAAATGAGAAGCTTTGGTAATGGCTTTAACCCCAATGTAATGTGAACAAAATCATGTGTTCAGTTCAGTTCTCCTTTAGATACACGTTTCACACTAACTCCATTTATTTCAGCAAATCCATTCCCGACTTGGCCTAATTTAAGGGAAAGTACTTTTCTGAGCATCTTGCGAGACTTTGGCAAAAGGCATAAGAAAGAAGTGATGTGGCTGGTTTTTAAGTATCACAGGTAGTTCGCTCAGAGTATTGTGAAGCAGTATGTTTTTTTTAAAAAGAACATTAATTTCATGGGCAAATACAAATAAAATCTCTAAACATAACCCCTGTGTAGTACTGGGCAGTAGGAAAGTTGCTTCAATCGTAAATTCTTTGTTAAGTAGAGAACCAGAGAATAACCCTGTTTTGATTTCTTCCATCAGAATCATCTTTATGAGTTAGTAATGTTGTGATAAAATTGTTGTGCTGAAATCTTTTTGGTTTTCCAAAACCAATCTCTATGCAATCTGTGTGACCTCTGTGAAGAGAAGAGTCCATCATCACTGTAGTTGTTGGGAGAGAATTACCACTGTCTGTTTTCTTTCACTCAGAAGGTATCCCAGCAATTCTTTTGTCATAGAGATAGTCCATATGATCAATGCTTTGCCTGGTAGATGAATGAGCCCTGTGAAAATTTTCAGTGTTTGATGTTTGAAGCCTTCTGAAGCCATAGTTGAAATAGCAAATAGAGATAGTGTGCTTATTTAGAAAGAGTTGACTCTAGTTCTAGAGCCATTTATTTCTGCAAGGCACTGGGATTGCAAGGGCTTGTTTTGTTTTGTTTTGTTTTGTTTTTTACTCCCCACCAAAAAATATTTTGGGAAAAAAAAATCATCATTCAGTTGTGTTTTAAAAGATTTCTATAGCAATAAGACTGAATTTAGAGAACTGGTTTTTTCAATTTTTTTTTTTAATAACCAAGTAGTGCAACCTTCAGCTTGTGAAGAGCTTGAGGCTCTTCTATTAATCGAACAGAAAGATATTTAATGTGGAATAATTGCTTTAAATTTATGGATATAAATTTGCTAGATCAGGTTTTTGTTTCCTCTTGCTTTTTATTTTTGTGTATGTGTGTATGAATGTCTCCGTTCTAAAAATGAAGGCTAGTATTTGTTTTAATGTGATTGAGCTGCCTGATCTCATTCAGTGTAGTGTTTTTATATTCAAGCCTAGAAAGATACTGAACTTTCTTTTATTCCTTAGATGAAACCTGCCTGTATTAAAGCACTCACTCGCATTTTTAGAATTTCTGATCAGGATAATGATGGTACTCTCAATGATGCAGAGCTCAACTTCTTTCAGGTAACTCTTTTGCTTGTGTTTTCACTGTGCTTAATGGTTGAACTATATAATTCTAGAAAAACAAGTGATTATTTTGAAGGACCAGTAGTAAGGTGAATTATAAGGGAATCGGGTCTAAATATTAAAAGTCTTAAGTGCAGCATAAAAGAGTGCATCTGTAAAAAAGGAAATTGTATTAATTTTATTTCTAACCATTGTTCAAGTTTTAGTTCAAGAGCAAAATAAAAAAATCTATTTAAACAAACAAGCCGCACTACAGGTATTTAAAAATAAAATCACGTTTGTACACCTTTATTTCCACTAAGAAATTGAATTGTCCTTTACTAGCTTATCAGAATATTTAAGGCTGTATTTCATACAGGACATGCTGTTTGTCTAGCTTAGTAGCCAGTGATCCTAACATGCTCTTTTTGTTCTGTTGTTTTGGGGTTTTTTTGTTAGAGAATTTGTTTTAATACACCACTGGCACCTCAAGCTTTGGAAGATGTAAAGAATGTAGTCAGGAAAAACCTAAGTGATGGAGTTGCAGATAATGGATTAACATTAAAAGGTAAGCCTTATTTAACTCTTAAAAGATGTGTCTTTGTACAGTTGATAATCATTCTTACATAAAAAAGCCAGTGTTTTGGAATAGGATCTCTGTCTTGATTCTTTTAGACTGCAAGAGCTGGGTGTAGTGGCAGTATGATATCGAAGGATGATTAAACTGAGGAATACTGGGCTGAATAAAATAAGATCTTTCTTCTCATTACTTATTTGGATACCAAGCTCTGTATACTGATTCAAAAGAGATTGTCTCCTAGATAAATCTGTATCTTGTCTCTAGGCTCACTGTCTGCAACACTTGTCGGCAAGGTGTGGTGTCTGTCAACATTTTAACAGCTGTGTTGTATGGATTTGCTCAGAGCATATGGCAAAAATGAAAGGAGAAAAAACGTTTTCTTTCTGAGCATCAGTGTAACTGCTTTGCTTGTGGAGCTTATGTATGTAGTAGGAGAAATTGTGAGAAATTGTAAAGAGTGGGAATCTTAAGGCTTAGCCTTACTAGACAGTGAAATCTCAGTGTTCATTAAGCCCTGGAAAGTGCTAAACAAAAATCCTACCAGTTATTTCGATACATGAAAACTAAAGGCAGTCTTCCATGAGACTGCTCTCCAGGCTTCTTGCTAAGGCTTACTATTTTAAATTGTTGAAAACATACAGCTAAGTTCTTCTATAATGCTGATACTGAAAGAAGCAAACAACAACAGAAAATCAAGTGGGTTGTTTTATGGAAACAGTTCCTTGAAGGATACTTTTATGAATAGCATGATTTCTGAACCTTCAGTCTGTGTAGATAATGCTGTAATGTCACCTAGGAGGTTTAAAATCTGAATGTGTATTTCAAGCTTTTTTGTTTTCAGCCTGATACTGATTCTATTAAAAATACCTGTAGCAGGTAAAGCACTTCAGGGCCTTAAGATTTCATCATTTCGATTTTTAGGTTTTCTTTTTCTACACACACTTTTCATTCAGCGAGGAAGGCACGAAACAACTTGGACTGTTTTACGTCGCTTTGGATATGATGATGACTTAGAGCTTACACCAGAGTACTTGTTCCCTCCGTATGTATCACTTATTTTAACTTGCTTTAAGTTACGTGCAGTTAATTTATGCTGCCTCCTGCTTTGGCAGGAGGAAAAGGTTAGTGTAGTATGTTTATTTAACACATTGTTATGTCAAGATAAATTATTAAAAATAAATGTAAAGGTCAAATACCAAATGTTGTAATTCAAAAAGTCTGTATTTTGAGTTTTAATAGTCTATATTTCATAAATACACTAAACACTACTTGTATTTGTTTTCAATAAACAGGCTAAAAATTCCTCCGGACTGCACGACAGAATTAAATCATCATGCATATTTGTTTCTTCAAAGCATTTTTGATAAACATGATTTGGTAAGCTTTTAATTTGAGTTTGTGTCCTTATGCTTAAGAGCCTTAGTTTGCTAGCAGTTTTGATAGCAAAAAAAGTGGTTTTGTCATTATGTCATTTCATTCAGAAACTGTCTCTGCTTTAAGTTATGCAGTCAAAACTAGCCTGCTATTTATGTTTCTGTCTACAAGGAGAGTTAGCAGTTGCAGTTGTACTACCAAACTTTTTTTAACTAGCTCATATATTTAGTCTTATTTGAAAGCAAGAAAAGAACAATGATTAAAAAAAAGCAAATCAGTTTCTCATAGCCAGTTTCTTGAATCTTGCAAGCATATAGCAGGAAAATATCAGTTTAGAATAGACATGAATTGTCATTTATGTTTGATGTCGTATGTTTTCAGGATAGAGATTGTGCTTTGTCTCCTGATGAATTGAAAGATTTGTTCAAAGTCTTCTCTTATATGCCATGGGGACCTGATGTTAACAACACTGTTTGTACAAATGAAAGGGGGTGGATTACATACCAAGGATTTCTCTCTCAGTGGACGTAAGTGTGATACATTACATTTTAGTAGTGGAGAACTTTGGGTCTGATAATGCATTTGTAGATTCCTCTTAAAAATCTAGTAGAAAGAGTGGAAGTTTAATAGTTGAAAATTGACCCAAGCAGTCAAGGTCTTTAGGCCACTGGATGGCTGTATCTTCAGACAATTGTTATAACCTGTTCAGGATTTGGCCAGTGTCTCTTCAAACTGTGGAAATCTCCCTGAAACTTGTCAAAATAAATATTTCTGTTGTTCTGCTCTTTGGAGATGGTATGAATAATGATGTTCAATAATGAGGGGTTTTTCCTATTAAAAATACAGAAAATGAGAAAAACATTATTTGAGGAAAAAAATAGATGGTGTGGGTTGATAAGCCTCAGCAAGTATTTTGCTGCTTATTAAGACTGGTAAAGTTGCCACCATTTACCTTCAGAGTGTATCTGTCCTTCAGTACTACATAGCACCAGGAATACTTCTATCATGTCCATCTGGAGATAGGAGGAAAAAATTGTTTCAGTACTGTAAAGAATTGGTATTACAGATGCTAACAATTTAGAAACTTCTTTTTGTCCCCTCCGCTAGACTAACCACGTACTTAGATGTACAGCGTTGTCTGGAGTACCTGGGTTATTTAGGCTACTCGATACTTGCAGAACAAGAATCTCAAGCATCAGCAATTACAGGTAATAATAATAAAAAAAAAGTTTGGTGCAACTTAGGAATTTAGACATCTGCTCAAGAGTGACTTGTTTAAACAAATGGTCTATCTTTTTTCACTTATATTCTTTTTTGCTTTCTGCTCAAGTCAAGCCTTTGATTTAATACTTTAATGTAAGTGGACAATTATTTTATGTTTTCACATACATATATGTATCTACATCTTATGAGAAATATTTGTGGTTTTTTTCAAAAGTAACAAGAGATAAAAAGATAGACCTCCAGAAAAAACAGACTCAGAGAAATGTTTTCCGATGCAATGTTGTTGGAATGAAAGGTTGTGGGAAAAGTGGAGTTCTTCAGGCTCTTCTTGGAAGAAATCTAATAGTAAGAAACCTTTTACTTATATTCACCTATATATGCTTTTAAGTTAAGGTTAAACAGCACAAGTAATTGATCTTAGAGCTTCACTGATTATTACTGAGTTTGGAGAGCTCTATGAGGGAATATAGAATTATTGTGGAGCAGGTTGGTTTGGAGGGGTTTTTTTGGGTTTTTGGGTTTTTTAGCAAATAGACAAATGGCTATTGTGTGCAACAATTGTACATCATGGATTATGGCTATGCATTTAGTTGCAAAATAAACCACAGGTTATTGTAATTTTCATTAATAAATGGAGTAAAACAGCTGTTCAAATTGAACTTAAAGGGGCAAGTTGCTGTGGTCTAACATGAAATTCCGCATTTTCAGAGACAGAGGCAAATACGTGCAGAACACAAATCTTACTATGCCATTAACACAGTCTATGTATATGGACAGGAAAAATACTTGCTGGTAAGGTTGCCTCATTGTTATTTGCATATGACTGTTTAATCTTAAAATTCAGTGAATTATTCAGAGCTTTCTGCAAACAAATTTCTATTTTAATTTCTCTTCTTCATAAATGTGGATTCCCCCCTGCTCCTTTTCTGGCTCAAATAACTTCTGGTTTTACATGTTGCTAATACTTTAAACCGAACCAGTTCAGGACCTGTTATATTTGAAACCTTGACCTAAATTGTACGGAACCCGAACCATTATATTTATGCTGCAGGGCATCAAATTATAGCATACAATAAATTATCAGCAAGCAATCTACCTACTCAGTAAAGAAGAATCTGTCATGTAAGGTGATTGGGATGGCTAAAGTTAATCTTCAGTGGGTGAAATACTTTCTTTAAAGCTCGTTCTACTGTAGTTTTCCTTTATGATAATATGATATCTTTCTTTGTTTTCCAAGATCTAGTCCTCTGCTCTGTGGTTTTTCTCTGCCAATTTCTATGGGAATCTAAGACTTTGTGTTAAAGTAAATGTAACTTTTTATGCTGAGGTTGTGATTTCGTGCAGATGTGATGTTAACAGCTCACATATGTTGGCTGTATGGTAAATTCCTACTATTTCTTTTTCATTAATTCTGCCTATTGGCAGTCTATTAGTTCCAAGGATACATAAAAATGAGCCATAAAAATTATGAGAAAAAAAGTTATAAAATTCCTTTAACTGCATAATGACAAAGCTTGTCTTCCTCTCCGACTGTCTTTTTTTCCAGCTACATGATGTCAGTGACTCTGAATTTTTAACTGACATGGAGACCGTATGTGATGCTGTCTGCCTGGTATATGATGTCAGTAACCCTAAGTCCTTTGAGTACTGTGCCAGGATTTTTAAGGTTTGTATAGTTTACACATACAAACCTTTACATTTATGTATCTTTCCACTGACAAAACATTCAGTGTCAGTTATTGGTCCTATACACAAGTTCTAGTGTTAAAAAGACATTTTATTTATGGGTGCTGGTTATATATCGCTGATGCGTTATAAATGCAGTTTTGTTATTCATATCAAGCTAACATCTACTTGTCTACATTAAAATATTCTGCTACTGGAAATGCCTGACTTCAGTGCAATGAATATGTCTTAATGATGCTGCAAACAGTTCAACTCAGGCTGATCCTGGCTGAATGTACCCTATACTGTTTCTTTCACCTTTTTTCTTTAAATTTACAGCAACACTTCGTGGATAGCAGAATACCATGCTTAGTGGTAGCTGCCAAGTCTGACTTGCATGAAGTTAGACAGGAATATAGTTCTGCAAAAAACACAAAATGCCTCCACCTCAAGCCTTTACTTGTAATACGGTTGATGTGCCGAGTAAGGATATCTTTGTTAAACTGACAACTATGGCAATGTATCCGTAAGTACTTGAACCGTTATATTTTTCATATTGCATGGGTCATGCACAATACCACTGCATGTTATTGTTAGCCACCAGAATGGAACTGCCTCACTGAGATTTAGCAACAGAGAGATGTGACTTGAGTAGAATCTTCAAATTATTTTAAATTGAGAAAGTTGGTATGTATCCAACATACAAATCAGTGTCAGCTATTGTTACTAAGGTCTATTTTGAAGAATACACCACTTCATCCAGCTCCTGTTGCAAATTCCAATGAATATGTAGGGTTCTGTTCTGTCCTTACAGTGGATGCATAGCTCAATATGTCAATAGTAATATGTTGGTATTTGTGAGATACTTGTAAGTTGTACCATAATCCTTGTTAATAGCTCAACTTGATAGTTGATTACAAGTAATGACACTCCTTAGTGAACAACAGTTCCCCCAATGCACTGCTTGAAGCTTTTTTATTTTCAGGCTGTTTATTACTATGTACTCTACCTAATTAATCTAATAGATCTTGTATTTTTTTAATAGAATTTCTGTAAAAACACCTTTTTTGGCTTCAGATAGAAGATACTTAAGTTCATATTCTTCACTACACATCTCTCTGTTGCTAAGCTTACTTTGCATCTCTTTTTTTGGTGGGTGGAGCTTTTAATATGATGTCAAACTACTGAATATTACAGCAGATGGAGTCTAGTATGACAGCTGACATTTGCTTTAAATGAAATAGAACTAATGTCACTTTCACCCAAAATAATAAGGTTTTAAAAAAATACTTGAAAATGTATTGAATTAGACTTGAAAAGCTTTTGGTTTGTTTTTGTTCTCTTGTATTTATTTTGTAGCGCTGGTATACTGGGAAACCACTAAAGTGTAGCACTGACCAAATGTCTTGTCATATCAATATTCCTGCTTCTCCCTTAGTTTTCAAGCATGTGTGTTTGTTAGGGTGGGAAAGGTAGAGGTAACTGTCACTTTGTAAAGTGTGCATTCAAAGTGGTAGAAAACGTGGCTTACTTTCCTTTGAAAAAGGGGTGTTACCTATTGCTGTGCAGACATACTCAGAAGCTTTTAGATGCTTTTCTTATAAACTTAAATTCAACAAACGTTTTCATTCATGTTTGTGCTTTGCTATTAAGATCTGTCTATGGTGGTAATGCCAAAATGTCCAAGATGTAGAACATCTAACCTTAAAATTCTGCACAGCTGTAGTTGTACCCTTGCTTACCCAGTGTATTTTTTTTTTTCTCCTCTCCTTACTCATTCAAATGTACCTTTTATTCCTAAATCTCTCTTGGTTGTGGCACAGTCCTAATGTGCACCTGATTTTATGAGCAAGATTTCAACTCCTGTCCTTCTGTGTGTTTTCGCAGCCATGCCCGGTTACGCTGTATGTGCGCCTGCAACAGGTGTACATTTTGCATCTGTCAGAACTTCCTCAACTCAGACTTGCTGCAATCTGTAAAGAACAAACTCTTCACTGCAGTTCTTAACAGGTCCTTAACTTTATTTACTAGGTACCAGGTGTGCTTTTAAAAATAAAGGTTTTTTGAAAAAGCAATTGGTAACCTTATATACTGCAGACTTTTCACTCCATATCCACTAAATAGGCAGATACTTATTTTAATAATTGTCATAGAACTGTCAAACTTTAACTTGAAGGTACTTTTGGTCTTTTGAGCTTAGTCCAGTGATTTCTTTGAAACGTTACCAATTTGGTAGTTGATTCAGGCACTTAGTGATTGCAAAATTACTGTGGAGGAATTAGGATTGTGTTTTTAGGGAACTGATAATGGACATTAAGTAGTGTCTATAAATCTGTGTAATGTGTCTCACTTGAGAAGTTATAGGTTTGTTTAGTATTGATTAGAGGTGGTGCCTCTTAGATATGTTACACAAATATTTTCATAAAGGCACAGCTTTACTTACAGCAGCATTGTATATAACATATAACTTGTTTATAATTGCTAGTTTGATGTTTGGGAATTCATAGAATTTCTCTGTGTGTGTGTTATGCTTGGTTTACACAAAAAGCGGGTATTTTGTGTAAGAAAAAAAATCTAGAACTTTTAACATCCAATTCCTCTCTGAATATAGTGCAACACGTAAGAAATGGTAAATGGTTAAACATTTGCATTTACAGATACTTTGGAAAAAACAATTGGTAAAGAGAGAGAAGTGGTTTTCAGCATTGAAAACAGCGCTATACCTTGTCTTGTGTGTACTGCAGGCAGTTTTTGACCCACATGACTTACTAACACCTCAGCACTTGTCATCTCACCCCAACAAATGGGAGTTCAAACCAAACAATTTTTGTAGTGCAGTGGTTCCATCGTTTATAACCTTCTCGAAAGCAGCTGTGATAAATATGTGTGTTTGAGGGCTATGGTTAGAATATCCTGACGTGCTGCTGGTCCATGTATGTTACTGCTTTTTACTGTTTTCAGATGTAGCTGCTCCCAATAAGTGTCTCCTTTAAATGCAAGTTACACACATGTAGGAGACCTATTGATATACCCACCTACAGTATTGAGCATCTTTATGTAATACCACTTTAATCCAAGATATAAGTGTTAATCACAGAGTGAAAGTTGAGAGAAGGGTGAAAAACTCATTAGCTTAGGAAAAGACTGCGAATATGAGTGAGACTGTTCACGCTGCATCTCTTCTACTGCAGCCACCCTTATACAAAAATCCTGTGAAACAGCAATCTCTTTGCATATTGTCACTCTAAAACTTCATTCAGCAGTCACTACTAGAAAATCCCAGCTCTTCATTGTTGCGGCTGTAATGCATCCTCATTTTTTGGAATGGTTATGGGTTGCTGGATTAGCTGTTGTGGCTTGTTTCTGTCTTGTATGGGCCTATGTTGGTTTTGGTTTTGAGTCCTGCATTAGATATTGCACTTAGTTCCTCTGAAATACTGTCAAGGGCTCGAGATACTGAAATCTTTTTATGAGAAGTCTCAGGATGCTGCCATTCCACACCTTGTCACTAGATAGTGTGGAATAAATGCAGGAAACTACTACTGACTAAAAAAGTCTGTGATTCAAGGTAAGGAGAACTTCTCGCAGACTTTTCCACTGACCCTGCAGAAAGGAAAAAATATTTCCTAGAACCTCTTTGTCTATAGGCATTCAGTTAGTCACTAGGGTTTTGTTGCAGGTTTCCAGCACGCTCACTTCATCTCACCAATTCTCTTCCTAATTAGTTCTTCAAAGATGTTTCCTTACCAAACACATTGCCGCAGGTTATTCACCATTCAGTACATGGACTACTGTATGACTGCATATATAGTAGAGATGAGATATCTGTAAACAAGAGGAAATAGCTCCTAATTATAGATGTAAGAGAGTAGAGATGGTTTTCTTGTTTAAAAATGTTAGCTGTTAGATGCATTTTTTAATGTAATGATCTGTGATTAGATTAGAGAAAGCATCTGAATCGAGAAGGATTTTCTGATGTAGTTAGTTTATATAACTTTTCTTATTTTGCCTTTACAGGTGCTTACCGTGAGGTCAGGTAGTTGGGCAAAAGTTCAGTAACTGATGGGTAAAGGAGGTTTCTCAGGAGTATTTACTCTCCTGATCCCTTCCTATTCTGAAGCTTTAGACAGTGGAAGTAGGTAAACTGAAATTTTTCAGATTGGACCCTTCCTGTATTATTTGTTGCTAAGTAATACGTAAACACTGCTACCAAGGCAAAATATGATACCACATTTGAATGTTCCCACCTCAGTAATTAAAGGAAGAACATTGCCTCTATGCAACTGAAAACCTATTCGCACCCACATTCAGTTTCTCTTGTATGGACAAATTTCAGAGACTCTCCCGAGGGTTTGTAGGCTAGCAGAAAGGCAAGTTCAACAAATGTGGAAGTTCAGTTTGGAGACGTTTATTGTGCAGGAACAGGATTGTTGGTTTGAACTACCCAGGATCACTCTTTACTGGCTCTTTAAGGAAGGCACTGCATTCATATCACTATACGTGCATGTATGAGACTTGTTACTATCATGTAGTATTTTTTTACATTTTTAATCTGTTCTTTCCTTTAGGTGTTCATTTGTATTTGTCTGGCTGGCACTTAATCTCTTTTTATTACATTGTTTTACCTCTTTTTAAAAGCAAGATTTCTGCTTATGTCATTCTAACACTTTCTGTAATGATGAGCTTGGATTTCTGGCTTTTTTTTTTTTAACTCCAGAGCATCAATTTTTAGTGTGGTTTTTCTGCTTTCTTGGTTTTGAATCATTCACTTGTTGCCTTTTGCTTGTATAGTAGTGGCATTTTTCTGTCAGCTAAATTCATTTCAAAATAAAATAATTCTAATGCATGAGAATTGTGTTGTTCAGTGAGGGAGACTTCTCAGAGCATGTTTTTCTTCCTGCTAAAGTTTTTAAATACTGTGGAACAGAAGTGAATTTCTACTTGCATATAAAACATGGTTGTTTCAGGAATTATTTTTAAGATTTTTTTTTTCTATGAAAACCTTCCTTCTGTGAAATTAAAGTTAAGATGATAGTTTTGTTTTCCTGTAATAAAATGGGAAAGTTTTAAGAGTATAACCAAGGATTTATTTTTCACTGTGTACAGTGTATGCAGATTATTTTTCAACACTATGGTATACTGCCTTAAATCTAATTGCAGAAATCTATCCATATACGTAAGTGTCCCCCAAATTAGAACAATATAACAATCTTTTACTTACCTATCTTCCTCCTTCTTCAAACTGTGTAATGCCCCATACTGAATAGAAGTTTGCAAAGCTGCATCCCCTGATTTCTTTCCAAACAGAATATATTGAATTGGCATTTTACATTCTATTTAGGTTTTGTAGATAAGATGCACTCAGAGCTTTTCACATTTTAGGTGACTAATGCATGGGAGAAAATTCTAACTGCTGAAGTTGGTTTGCACCCTAGGAAAATATGTGCCTGAAGGGAAGCTGCAGCAGCTCCCACATGTTACGTGATGGTTTTGGAATTCAGTTGCTTATATTTTGTTGTTAGAACCTATTGTGTGTCAGAGCAGGCTGCTGCTGCTTGCTGGCTGCGTTAACTTGCTTGTAAGTTCGGTGTGAGTAGCCGTGTGACTAGCTTGCTGGCCTCACCAGTGTGCTTTTAAAATGGTTTTGTAGGCAATGGAGGAGTGTTTCTGAACTTCTGGGAAGGTTTAACCTTAACTATAGAGTTGGGATTCTTCTGCTGCTGACATGGGGGAAAAATGTCAGTATTGGCCCATAACTCAGCAATTTTCTGTGTGTAACCATGACAGGCATGCTCAGTTAACCTCTTGGTAAGTGCATGTTGCAAACTTCTTGTGAGTTGTTAAAGCCTCGTAAAAGAAAGACTGTACAGATTCCAAAGATCTTAATCAAAAAGTAACGAGTTACTTGACTCACTATTAAGGGTAAGTTGATTAAAAATCTGTTTTTTTTTCCAAAATGTGCATTAAAATCTGAATTTTACACCAAAGGCAAAATTTCTAGACTTTCTTGTAGATGTGGAACTAATGGTGTGATTAAATGCACACACTAATCTATTTGGGAAGTTTGAAAGCTAGTTATTCTTACTAATAAGCAAGAATTTTATTTATGGACTCCTAACTACTACTCTGTGTGTGTGTATGTGCACATCCATATATAAGTCTTACCCTTGGAGAGAGTAATTTTTCTAATTCAGAGTTACTCTCTTACTGGCACTGAGAGAAACGTATTGAGAAAATGTATGAGAAGAGTTGTTCTGCATTATTGCCACCTTCATGTTAAAGAACCTGTGCTGGAAACAAACATTGATCCTTTTTATTATCTCAGGTTTTTGATTGTTGTTTTTTTTGGGGGTGGGGGAGGGTGTTGCCTTTAATGGCAGCTAAACAATATTAGGAATTTATGACAGCATAAGGAACATTTAAGGAAGGAAAAACTGGAATTTTTTTCAAAGCTGTAAAGCAATTAGACAACCATAGTGTTCTGAACTTCAGTAAGTATTTTTGGACATTTGATTTTTGGGCTGAGATGTTCAGAGGGCCCTAATTGTTTCTTATTGAAGTCAGTAGATTTCCTTGGGTTTATAAAACAAATCACTGCCTTGATTTAGTTCCTTATTTAAATTAAAGAGTCTGTTACTGTTAGGCTTAGAAAAAGGATCAGAGTCAATTTACTCTCCCTTCAGACATGAAAAGAGGATTTTATCATGACTAAGAATATATTAACTGTTTTTAAAAGGATGAAGCATGCTCAGCAAGTTTTGTGCATACCATCACATGTGGACATGTGCAAAAGTCAAAACAAGGCTAATTATAGATAGAAATCAGAAAATGTAGATGTGAGAGATAATGGTTTATGAAGCAGTGCAAAAACACTCATTTGCAATTTAAACAGTGATTTGCACATTTAAAGGAATGGTTTTTAAATTGTTGGGCATTTGAATTAACCAAATTAAACTTGAGAGTTGTTAGTTATACAAATGCTCACCCAACAGAGCTTGTCATGTAATCTATTAAAATCATGTTACAAGTGATTTATTTTACATAAAGAGATAAGTTTTATAATTTACAGATCTGAAAAACTAAAAACAACACCACATGTAGTGATAAAATACGGTCTTTAATTGAATTATCAACAGTAACGAGATCTTGTCAGTTTTAGGACTGACATATTGGAGTCGTTCCAGTGTGTTTAGCACAGGTACTCTAGCTTATGCGTATGGCGCGGGAGTATTGCAGTGTCCTGTGGACATGTGAAAGTTGAGGCTCTGGGATTGGAGTGGGAAGAGATTCAGTTTCTTAAGCAGTTTTCTTTGTCCTTAAAGCAATGGCATTTAGCTACATAAAATCATATATTTTACTTAGCTCATCAAAAGTACAAACTCCATTTATTTCTGTTTTTCCCCAAGCACTAAGTTTTTAACAACTGCACAAGAATCAGGGGCTAGATGGCTAAAAACTATAAATTCTCTGGGCTTTGTTATTTGAGCATATTTGAGACACTTGCTGTTGTTGAGCCATGCTGTGAACTGCAAACTGTGCATGTGTGTGAAAAGGTTAAGACCCTACATAGATGAGTTGGGGGCCATGCTGTTAGCAGACGAGGAGAGCAGTATTATGCAGCAGGTGCACGCCGTCAACTCTGTAGAAGATTCCATCTTCATGGAGTCATCTCTTGGTCCACGTTTACTTGAAGACAGGTAACAGCAGCCTAACTCAGGTGGCCTTGCCACTGCCTTTTCCCTTTCTTCCCCTCAGCAAACCACTTGACATCTAGTTTGCAGAGAGTTTGTCAAAACTAGCTGTAGAAGAATTCATGAGGAATTCATGAATTTGATCTGTTCCATAACCCAGCAAGATATTCTTAAATAAGATTAGGAATTTTTAGAGACCAGCTGTGTTTCGCTGTCTGTGCACCAAAGAGCCTGTTCTTCAGCATGTGGTATTACAGTACACTGATTATCTATGTGGCTTTTATTGCTCCTGCAAATGTTACTAAAGAATATCCTAAACTGGTTTTGTGTATTTTGATAGCAAGTAACAGTTCCTGCTTTATTAAACAGCTTGTATGCGATAGTTCTACAGTTCACACTACATGAACTCTCTTGTGCACTGTGTATGTTTAGGATCTTTGTGTGCTCCTTGTACTTAATACTCCTGCAGCTTTCACTGAGTAACCCGTGATGATTAATACAGGCTAAAATACATAGGCTAGTGAAGTTCTGTTGTGAGTTCTAGCTTAAACAAAAGCAAACAAACAAACACTTCACTATTGTTTAGGAACTTCTTGTGCTTTGAATTATGGCATTTATGATAATTTGTTTTAACTGTTAGCTCCTGCTTTATGGTAAGCTGTCATACTTGAGACTACTTTTGAGGATGGCTAGCTGTGTTTAACTGAGCATGCTCACAAACTTCTTGCAATATGTGGGAGAGTTGGGTCATTGGCTGTCTCTACTGTCATGCAAGAAGTGGCTTTTTATGTCATACAGTCACTTCATACTGTTGTTACATCTTGTCTTTCTGTTGATGCCATTGTCACTGCTTGTTTCACTAGCACTTTCTCTTAGCTTTCAGCTTGGTATTGGATGACTTTCTATTGCTGTTCTTGTGACTGTACTGGGAAGAAAGGGATTTACAAATGGTCCTTTTGATTCTAGCTTTTGGAAAAATATTACTTGCTACTTGTCAGTAAACTTTTTTGGGGGAATAAGTATAAGTAGATCTTCAACAGGACTGGAAAGTTTTTCATGGAAAAGCAGAAATATGTAAACTCAACATTGGAGGAAAAAAAAAAAGGATTTTGCTGGACAGAGTTCTTCTCACTACGGGTTATTAATTATTTTCTAGCTATTTTTGTTTTCCTTTTCGGAATGCTTGCTGGTACTCTCAAAGACGACACACTGCCCTCCCCACATTCATGACTAATGATCTGCTCCTGCATTTCTCTTCAGCTGTGTGAGCTCTCTGACTTTAGTGAGATCTACTAATGTGATCAGGGCTGCAGATCAAATCCTAAGCTTTTAAGAAAAGTAAAATGACTGTATAGGTATTCATAAGGCTGAATTGTAAGCTGCCTGCCTGTGACAAGTGTAGTGATGAATTTCCAAAAGCAGAGTAGTTTAGCACAAGTTGTCTGATATTCCTGTCATGGAATTAACCTGGTTTTGTATGTGTGTTAAATTTTAGGCATGTGACACAAGCGGACCTCAAGAGCTCTACGTTTTGGCTCCGAGCAAGTTTTGGTGCTACTGTCTTTGCAGTTTTGGGTTTTGCTATGTACAAAGCATTATTAAAGCAACGATGATCTGAGAAGAAGCACATCTGGCCCTACCAAATAAAAAAACCACTTTTATGTAAATTCTGAATGCTTTAAATTCTGCTAGAAATATTTATATATGCAGAGTTACTTTATTAATATTTGTAATTCATGCATCAGATTATTTTAAATTATAGCTCTAACTACAGTATTGCATAATGCGTGGAAGAAAAGATTGCATCTTAACAGCCAGCTAAAATGGCTTAACTTGTGAGGCCAAAAGGGAATTTGTTGTAAATAACCTGTACATATTAAAGCAGTAAGACATTGCTTCCCAAAAAGCTATTCAAAATACTGTTCTTGAATGTTTCACCATGGTGACATACGAGTGTATAGTTGAAATTAATTTTCGGTTGAGTAGGTTCAACTCAAGGATCATACTTCCTCAAGGATTGCTTATTTATTTCACATTCATCTGAAGTGATTTCATCTTTTTTGGACTATAAGCTGTACCAGGCAGAATTTGTGATTTTTGTTCTTACCTATTCTTTTTAACTGATGAACAAATTTCCCCACTAACTATGTATTTCAAGAAAAAGTCACTGTTGCTGTCCTGGCCTATGATTTTGTATGTTACATGACCAGTGACATATTTAGCAGTCTGATACTTCTTTTAAAAGGAAAACCATACATTTAAAAACCTGCCAGATCAACTTCATACGCTGTGTGTAATTCGTGTTCTTCATTTTCCACTGTTGTGTTTTATAACCCTTATGAATCAGAAGAGCAAATTTGTATATTATAAATGTTTATAATTCAAAAAGTGGTGTTGTTTAATTTCTCACATCTGTCAATCATACCTTTTGAAAGCTGTGTATAAGATAAAACTAAAATAGTACACAGTGCCTATTCTACTGTAGTATATTAGTTGCATGGATCACAGTGCATTCTGTAACTGGCTAGAATTACCGATAGACACAGCTTTTTTAACAGTCAAGTAAATCAAACATTAATTCCTCATGACAAACCTATTTTTCCATTGCTGGCCTTTTCAAATATTTCAATAAAATAACTGTGTACTGTGTTTGTGTTTATCTTTTTTTTAATTTTTTTTTTTTTTATTTCCCCTGCCCTGAAAGGTGGTCCTCAGAAAACCTTGTCCTTTATCCAAGAGAATACTGTCAGTGCCTTCGGCTGTTGGAGCTTCAGTATCTTGGCTGGATAGTTTCTTTGAGTTGTCTTATGACTGTGCTGCCTCCATTAGAGATTTGTTTCTGATTTTTATCAGAAGACAAAAGTGACTTCTGTGATATTTGAAAGCAGAAACATAAATGTATAGTCAGCCATTAACTTTCTGGTTACTGTCAAGGACAAACCAGAGCAGGAGAAGAAAGTAAATAGTTCAGGGGGTTGTTTGGGAAAGCTAATGCCTGTCTGCTACACTGACCTTCCGGAAAAGTCAGGCAAGAGCAGGTGAATGAGAAAGTTTCATCAACAGAAGGTTAGAAAGCTCCCAATCTGAAAGCTATTATGCTCTATGTTGAAAATTACCAGATTTCTAAGAATGTTTGAAGAGGGCTAATACTTTTCTGGGGAGTGTGGACGCTGTTACATAAAATCTTGTTGTTTTCCCTGGGAAGGTGATCATTGGAGACCTTCTCTGTATGCTCCTCCCAGTAGGTAACTGGAGTCCACAGGAATGGGATTCCCTCACGTTAACAAGGTCCCTGTTCTCTCAGCCTCTCTATTTCCTGTTCCAGCTCCCCGTCCGTCTCGGTGGCCTTTCGCTTGCAGACTCATTTCAGTATGGCAGTGTCTGTCTTGTACTGGGAAGCCTGAAACTGGACACGTAATACAGTATAGTCTCACAAGTGCCAGTTATTGACTGTGGGTAGTGCTTGTGGAGGGTTTGTCAGGTGGTGGAACAGTATTTCCTACTTTTTTTTTTTTTTTTTGTCTTCTGACATCCATGGTGCAGAAAATAAATGCATCGGTGTTACATAGAGCTTCTGAACCGATGACCTGAACAAGCAAATCTTTCCCTGTCCCTGAGTTTTTACAGTACTTCTCATGAGCTTGGGGTGCTGTGCAGCATTGGCACGCAAAAGCTGAAAAGTGCATGATGTGTTCTCAAGAGCTGATAGACAACTTCTTTCGTGGTTGTTTTTTTTCTTTTGTTTAGGTACAACATACCTGCCTTGGTAAAGGGAGACCAGATTGTGATAGAAAATAAGAAGGAAGACCACTGTGATAGTGTAACTTAATCTGTGGGGATCTTTGCTCCTTGGGGCCTCTTGATCTTTTAACATCAAGCAAGGAAGACTAGATACATGCCTTGAGACGTGTTTGTTTGTTTTCTTAGATCTTAGTGCTGCTGACTATTCCCACCACCACCCTCAATGCACTCCTGAAAGCATATTTCAGGACTTTATTTCTCACAAATTTATCTCAGACTGCCAATGTACTTACGGTAAGGTGCCTTTTGAGAGAGCGATGGTTCTGCGGCGCTGCCTGGCCTGTCTCTGAGGTCGGAGTTGTGGGGAGGGTCTGCCATTTTAAACCAGGCAGTGGCTGTTGGCTCCAAAACGCTTCTGAGTACGTGATGCCACGCTCTGGATTTACAGTTACGACTCCCACTCACCTTCCGTATGTACCCTCTCATAGAAATCTCTTCAGTATTATATTAACAACACAGCTCCTTGTCTGTGCCAAGTACTAGAGCGTTGTAACTGCTGTTCAATGTTTTATTATGCCATTTGTGAACTTCTCTGTATTGAGCCTGCTGCTGTATTTTCCTGTGGGGGAGACTGGTGTGGACACTACTGACGGACCTGGAGCAGTGGGCTCCTGCTCGGATGGGCCACGAGCGCAGCAATGCCTCAGTGGCTGCGTGTGCTGGGCGTGCAGGGGGAAACGCTGGCTCTGGTGAGCTGGTGTGGACCTTTCACGCGTCAGACAACCATCGAGCGCTTTGCGGGCTTGGCTAATAGCACCGCTTTCCGTAAAGGGCTGCTGTTAGGGCTGTAAGATTGCTACCACTTTAGGAAAATGTCTTCATTGTCGGGTGAATGTTTCCACGTCAGTTAAACGTGCTTTATGGTGGTCACCCAAGCGCGAGAAGGGACGCGTTTCTATGGAAACACGCAGCACGGTGG